ACTGTGAACTGCAAAAGTTTGCTATTACTGTGTTGAATTTCTGATGATCATGCGTATAGATTTCAATCTGGATGCATTATTACTTTTGATAAAGGTTTTTTTTTTTGAAGGAACTTTTGATAAAGGTTTTATCACCAATTTAGTCTTCATCTTTACCCAAAAGGTTGAATCACTAACCCTAAGGGTCCCTTACACTAGGTCCAGCTCATATGGTCGAGCTCACCATGGGTGAGCTCACATGGTCGAGCTCACATGGCCGAGCTCATATGGCCGAGCTCACCATGGCCGAGCACACTATGGTCGAGCTCACCATGGCTGAGCACACTATGGTCGAGCTCACCATGGCTGAGCACACTATGGTCGAGCTCATATGGCCAAGGCGCTTTGGATCGAGGTGTCTTGGGTCGAGCACGGGGCTCAACCTCGGGGCCTCGGGTCCACTCTATACTTCCTTGCTCCGCTTTCTCGGGTTGATTTGCTCCGATCATAATATATTCATCACGAGTCACCCATTCTCTTTGTTGCGAGAAGTCGACGACGAAAGAGAGTAAATATCTCGACACAACCTCCATGCGCGAATGTCCCAGGCACAAATCGGTTGACGTAATTTATTGCTAAGACACCATCTTCACCTGTCTGTCTGGAGCGCGTGGCCTTAGCGAGGCCGAGTGCGTGTCCTCGACCTTGGTCCTTTTTTTTTTTGGCATAGGGTACTCTCAGGCCAAAAACTCTTTCGTCGGGGTTAGTACGCAAGGTCGGGCATCGTGCCCCCTTAGGGTAGCCGTTCGACCCGAGTCGTTTGATGCCGGGCTGTTGGGCTCTTCCATCGGGGTTGGTATGCGAGGTCGGACCTCGTGCCCCCTTAGGGTACGATAGCTGTTCGACCCGGGTCGTTTGACACCAGATAATTAGGCTCTTCCGTCGGGGTTGGTTCGCGAGGTCGGGCCTTGTGCCCCCTTAGGGTATGATAGTTGTTCGGTCCGAGTCGTTTAACACCAGGTCATTAGGCTCTTCCGTCGGGGTTGGTACGCGAGGTCGGGTAAGTACCCCCTCCCCCCCCCCCCCCCCCCTAAAAATAAGTGAAAATCAGTCTGGTACGAAATTTTTACTCAGTTTATTACAACAGATGGGACAGACCACATCTTAAAACATCATTGGAGGGGACAGACCACCTCTTACAACATCGTTGGAGACTTGGAGGGGACGGACCACCTCTTACAACATCGTTGGAGGGGATGAACCACCTCTTTAAACATCGTTGGAAGGACGGACCACCTCTTAAAACATCATTGGAGGGGACGGACCACCTCTTACGACATTTTTGGAGGGGACGAACCACCTCTTAAAACATCGTTGGAGGGGACGACCCACCTCTTAAAACATCATTTGAGGGGACGGACCACCTCTTACAACATTGTTGGAGGGGACGAACCACCTCTTACAACATCGTTGGAGGGGACGGACCACCTTTTAAAACATCATTGGAGGGGACAGACCACCTTTTACAACATTATTGGAGGGGATGGACATCCTCTAGGTGGACGGTTTTGGGGCGAGAACTACATTTGCTAGCCAATCGGGATACAGGACCTCCCTGATGTGCCCAATCTTCAGGAGGGTGTCGACCTCTTGTTTCACGAACTCTCTTCTCTCAGCAGAGAGGTACCTCTTGCGTTGTTGATCTGGCTTGACCGTAGGGTCTACGACCAGTTTGTGCCTGATCACCCCTCGACTGAGGCTTGGCATGTCCTCTGGACCCCACGCAAAATTTTCTTTGTAGTTTCTGATGACATCAACGATCCGAGCCCATCCTCTTAAGATAATATGAACCAAATATAAAAATATAAATTTTAAGATATCACATCCTCTTAGTTATGTTATATAACTTCAACCAAGCACAAGTTTATAAACATAGGGTAAGATATCACATCCTCTTAGTTATGTTATATAACTTCAACCAAGCACAAGTTTATAAACATAGGGAAGGGTTCAGGTGTGAGTGATACTTCTCGTGCGGTTGATGCACCGTAAGTACACATGTAATACACGCACCTTAAGCACAAATTAATTTAAACAAGATAATTAACTCAAATTTAATTGCATAACTGCACCTGAGCGCACTAACCGCACCAGAACCTAATTCTATAAACCTAATTATATAATAGAGTTAATTACTGAAATGGTCCCTTGACTATAGCAAAATTACCAATTTGGTCCTTGACTATTTTTTTGACCAATTAAGTCCCTCAACTTTAAAAATCTTAACTAATTTGGTCCTCCGTTTATTTGACCGTTAGTCAATCGTTAACTTGGGATCAAACTGGTAATTTCGCTATAGTCAAGGGACCATTTCGGTAATTAACTTTAAGGGTGGGTAATTCGGTTCAGTTTTCTCGAAACGAACCGTACCAAACTAGTTTGATTCAGTAATATACCGAATAACCGAACGCCCAAACGGTAATGGATTCTTGTATACCGAACGGTTCGGTAAAAACTTGAACCGAACTAAATTGTTCGGTAAAAACTGAACCGAACTGAATACCGTTTGAACTTTGGATTGCTATTTTGTTATATATTAGACTTTGGATTTGGACTATGTAAATACCATAACACATAATATATAACTTTTGATAACAAGCCATAAAGTAATCAAATACGGAGTAAAACATTTACGAGAGATACCCGTGAGAATATGAGATGAACGGTAGAGCAAGCAGCAAGGGACTTGGATTTACTTTATTATTATTATTATTATTATTATTATTATTATTAATTTATAATAAAAAAATCAAACGGTATTCAGTTCGGTTTAGTTCGATTTTTTATCGAACCGTTCGGTATACAAGAATCCAATACCGTTCAGTTGTTCGGTATATTACCGAACCCAAACTAGTTCGGTTCGGTACAGTTCAGTTCGAGAAAATCGAACCGGATTGCCCACCCCTAAAGTTCATTACCGAAATGGTCCTTTGACTATAGCGAAATTATCAATTTGGTCCCAAGTTAACGGTTGACTAACGGTCAAACAAACGGAGGACCAAATTGGTTAAGATTTTTAAAATTGAGAGACTTAATTGGTCAAAAAAAATAGTCAAGGACCAGATTGGTAATTTCGTTATAGTTAAGTGACCATTTCGGTAATTAACTCTATATAATATGATATAATGTGGAAATGTTTTGGGTGTGGAATTACAGAAAGAGTAAATACCCAAAATGGTCCCTCGACTATAGCTAAATTCACAAATTAGTCCTCAACTTTCAATTTCAACCAATTAAGTCCTTAACTTTGCAATTTTGACACGATTTGGTCCTCCATCTATTTGACCGTTTGTTGACCGAGATCTTTGAGGATATATATGTAGTTTCACGTGCAAAGCTCAAGAGAATGCTCTTGGAGGTGACATCGTTGTTTCGGGGGGTGGGGGGGGGGGGGGTGGGGGGGAGTGCTTCTCCACTTGCTGCTTGGGGATCACGAGCCGGTTCAGCTTAGAGAACGCTCTTGGAGGTGACAGCGCCGTTTCGAAGGGTGGAGGTGCTTCTCCGCTTGCTGCTTGGGGATCCCGAGCCGGTTCAGCTTGCCTACATCGCTTGGAGTCACGGCTTTCTCGAAGAGCTACTCCAGGGACTTCGGCGATCTATCTATCAAAAGCTATAATCTTTCCGGCATGGGGTGCAGCGCCGACAGTGGATTCAAATGTAACAGTGCGGTCTAGAAATGCAACCGGAACCTTAAAAAATCGACGATGGACCATGAAATTACATATATATCTTAAAAAAGTGCTATCAACAAACGGTCAAATAGACAAAGGACCAAATTGTGTTAAAATTGCAAAGTTAAAGATTTAATTGGTTGAAATTAAAAGTCGAGGACCAATTTGTGAATTTAGCTATAATCGAGGGACCATTTTGGGTATTTACTCTTATAGAAAAGGGCGAGATATATCCAAAAATTGTGTGGATTGGTAAATGGGGGATGGTGGCCCCCAGGGGAAGTAAGATGTTCAGCAAAACAGCTTTCCATGACACCGCTGACAAGGATAGGCAGACCCACCTTTGCTACTCCTCTATTCTTCGCCACTAATATATCCAGATTCTTGTTTAATGGATCGGAAGTCGGAAGAATAAGCTCATACTTCAAACTTACTATCAAGTATAAACATTAATGAGTGAAACGGATGTTGAAATGACTTGTTTGTTTTCTGACTATGGACTAATCAGTCCGCAAGGTCAACATAATCGGTAGAATAAATAAAATATTAAGTTTTTGAGAGAAAAAAAAAAAAGAAATAAAGAGATGAAATATTTTTAATGTGAAAATTATTGGCGTTTTTGAATAGTGTCAAGTCAAAATTCACTATCTTATAAGTAATTTGTACATATAAAGTTGTATTTTTTTTTATTTTTTATTTTTGTATTTGATTATGGCTTTTTATAGTAGAAGAATATGTAGATTATATGATAACCAGACTCCTTATGGTAATTGAATATTTATAATAGGATGAGAGAGAAGATAATTTAGGTTGATCTTGTTGATACGATACAATTTCTTTCTCTATCGGTTACCGCCAAAGCTGACTGGCCACACGAGTCGAGTATCGAGCATTGTGTTAGACTATCATAACTTGTTGTCGGACTAATTGCTTGGTTAACTACTCCTAGAGTCCTAGTCCATGTTCCATCATGACCCATTTGATGAACAAAATTAAATGGGCCGATCGAACAAATAAAACCTAACAAGAGAGTCCATGCTAAATTAGTTGCTTGACTTGGTTTTAATTCGTAACAAAATGTGAAATTGTCTACCTCAAACATTTCTACAGCACATTCTTACTCAATTGTGAATGAGTAAATCATGATGAGTTAACTGATCAGTTAAACCTTTTATTCACTACGCACGAGGAGTCCCTATCATTTGAGAGATTACTCCCACGCTACAATAAATAAGACTCGATCATTAATTTCTCACATGGGAGGGAGACATATAATGTATTTCACTGTTGTGAATTGTGACTTAAAGCTGCCAGCTGCCTGCCGCCTGCCTGCCAACTCTCAACTCTCAACTCCCCACAAAACTTGCCTATCAGTAGTGAATGGCATCCACTGATTTGTTGTAATTCATTCTTCTCAGTTCTCCTCTGCCCAAAACATGGTCGCTGCAGCCTAAAACATGGAAAGTTATGCATTGGCTCTATCTCCCTTGTCTACACAGTTTCAGAGGTCTCCTCACCTCTTCAAAAACCAATCTTGTAGGTTCAGTATATTAGGTTTGAAGCAGGAGGCTTTTCAGAAATCATCAATTCACTGGCTACACAAACCCACATGCCTGCGTTTATTCTCCAGCTTCAATGGCTTCACCACCGGCAACGCAAAACCACATTCTCTACTGCACTTGAAGGGCGGCGGTGGCGGCGCCGCCGCAGTTCCGGAAAATGCGGAAGGGTTTAGGGCAGAGAAGCCGGCGGCGAGTGAATTTATTAAGACTCTGCAGCTGGGCGCCATGTTTGGAATCTGGTATCTCTTGAATATCTACTACAACATTCTCAACAAACAGGTTTTGAAGGCGTACCCATTCCCAGCAACCATTACAGCTTTCCAATTTGGGTGTGGGACGCTGATGGTTTTCCTCATGTGGGCTTTCAATCTCCACCCTAAACCAAATATCCGTAGATCTCAGGTCATTTTTTTTGGGTTTTCTTCTTAATTCTCGTTCAGATCCTGCAGGATTTGAATCTGGATCTAACTTTGTTTTGATATGATATGATATGGGTTTCAGTTTGCAGCAATCTTTTCACTGGCAGCTTTGCATACAATGGGCAACCTTCTAACAAACATCAGTCTTGGTAAAGTTGCAGTCTCCTTCACTCACACAATTAAAGCAATGGAACCTTTCTTTACTGTTCTTCTCTCTGCTGCACTTCTTGGTCAGGTAGGTATATCATATATGTCACCTTTTTTGTTTACTTTCTCCATTAATATCAAAGTATGATCAAACCCAGGTCACGGAATCACGGGTTCGAGTCCTGTCTGTTGAGCATATAACCATTAATGTGCAATCCAACTTTCGGGCTTTTAGTTGAGACAGAGCACATGCTTCAATTCTGTCAATAACATTTAAAATTGGTTAGTGCTAGGAAGGGGCGGAGGCCGGTAAAGACCAAGTCTAGCACCTAGTGGCTTGAGAATTATTGGACAGAAACCGGTAAAGGGTGTAAAAGGCCAAGTCCAACACCCAATGTTTCAAATGTGTGATGACAAGAAAATAAAGTTACGTTTTTGCTACTAGTTATAGTTTTTGACGTAGTGATAAGCGTTTGAACCTAATAGACTATTACATTTCATTGAAGTGAAATTGAATTTCTTGAATTGTGTCATACATACATGCATACAGTGGCCATCTCTGTGGGTGGTATTGTCCCTAGTTCCCATTGTTGGTGGAGTGGCCTTGGCTTCATTCTCTGAGGCTTCTTTTAACTGGTAAGCTTAATTTAGCTACAAATTTCTCTCACTCACAACACAATGTATAGTATGCCTCCTTCCTGCCATATATGCATAACTATTAACCAGTACTAATAGGTCGGGTTGTGAACTCTGCCTGCAACTGCAACAGGATAGGCTTTGGCAGCGCAATGGCATCCAATCTCACTAACCAATCTCGTAACGTGTTTAGCAAAACCTTCATGCTTAAGGAGGAGGTAACCTTTGTGGAAACTAATTAATAATAAAATGAATTATGGCATCTACTTAGCTAGCTTAGCTTGATTCTAAATGTAAGGTATGACTATTGGTGCAGGAAGCTCTTGACAATATAAACCTCTTCTCAGTCATGACCATCATTTCATTCATCCTTTTGACAAGCTTTGCAGTTTTGATGGAAGGTGCCAGATTCACTCCATCCAATCTACAATATGCTGTGAGTAATCAATATATATTCGCCAGTCTTTTCACATTTCTCTGTGTTTCTATCTCAAACTTGAAATGGGTGGTTATCTTGATTAAGGCAAGCCAAGGATTCAGTGGTAGGGACTTGTGGGTGAGATCCCTCTTAGCTGGTTTCTGCTTCCACTCTTACCAACAGGTGACCTGTTTCCTCTGATTTCTTGTTCATATTCTGCAAATTACTGTCTTAGATTAAACAATCTTGCCCGCACGGGCTTAGCTCAATGGTTCAGTGGGCAGTATTTGGGAGAAGAAACCAAGGTTCGAACCTTGGTGGCGGCAGTGAGGGAATTATGTCCAAAGTGGGCAGATTCCTTGTGCGCACCGGCATCTGGCCCTATCCGCTGAACCATTGAACCACCGTGATTTACATCCTCCCAAATGCTCTGTCGGGCCGGGGTGTGGGGGGCCCTTAGGGTTGGGGATTCAACCTTTTTCGGGAGAAGATTAAACAATCTCACTTGGCTAGCTTGTTGCTATTTGAGTTTTGAAGGTTTCATACATGATACTACAAATGGTTTCCCCAGTGAGCCATGCAGTGGGGAACTGTGTTAAGAGAGTGGTGGTCATTGTATCATCAGTCATATTCTTCCACACTCCTGTTTCACCAATAAACTCTCTGGGTAGGTCTACATTTTGCTGTTTTCTTCTGTGGTAATAACTCAATAATGGCTGTATGCCTAGCTGAATTGAAGAGTAATCATATTGTTGTTGGTAATAACAGGAACAACCATTGCTCTTGTTGGAGTATTCCTTTATTCAAGAGCGAAGAGACTAAAGCCAAAAATCGCGTGATAGACAAGTCAGCAAGTTGGGTTGTAATTAACTCTCCATCTAGTGACAAAGTTATTGCAATTCAAGAGACTGTAGATTGAAAAAATTTTGCGTAGGACTTATAGTTCATGTTACTATTTTTATTCTATGATTGAACTCAATTATTACTATCCAAATACTCTGATTTTGTTAAAATTTTTGTTTGCTAAATATGGGAGGTTTTTTTTTTTTTTTTTTTTTTTTTTTTTGGTATTGGTCCTTCTATACATGTTTGCTCATTTGCTCAAGATGGGGTTTTACCTTTGGTGGCATTAATGGATTTGTTGGTTGTTGGGTGCTTTTTTTAATATTCATCTTTATAGGATCTCATTTACTGTCACACACTATAAGATAATATGCACACTTTACAAAGTTTTTTTCAGTTTTTACAATTTATTGTTTTACCAGATACTTTTTACGCCTACTTTATAAGACTAGTAGTTGATTAGTTGATTATGTTAATAATTGAGTAATTTTGACACTACATCACAAGATTCATTTCACAATGCGTAAAATTACTTTATACTCTTTAGAATGTTTTAACTTTACAGGGCGTTTGGTTGGAAGGAAGGAATTAAGAGGGAAATGAATTGTAATTCGGTGGGAAAAGAATAAGGTGAGAATAAAGTAGGAATTACAATTACATTGTTTGGTAGGGAAGAATAATGAAAATGGGAGAAGTGATATAAAGACTAAAATACCCTTTGTGTAATAATTTTAATAATAACATTCAAGGACAAATATGTCTTTTCCTTCCCTTTCCCTTTGGATGAATTCATAGGGGGATCTATGAATTACAATTCAATAAACTGAGGAAATTGCAATTCCCTCCAACCAAACAATGTAGTTTATAATTTCATTGAATTGCAATTCAATTCCAATGCAATTCATGCCAACCAAACACCTTACTTCTTAACATTGCTTCTTGTAGCAGGTTTTCGAACCTATTTCTACTTTGTATGAAGAGCTAGGCCTCCTTGAACTCCTTGTACATAGCTTTCTCATCCAATAAATTTTCCAAATATTTTCATATTTTATTATGGGCTAAAGGGCACATGTGGACAAGAGTCCAATGTGTAATTACTAGTAAATTATATTGTGGACCATAGTTCATATTGCAATGTGGATCATGAATAAATGTACATTTCTAATATACTGAATATATATTAGTGTACCGAAAATTCATTATTTCTGAATGATCTTATTATTATTATTATTATTATTTTTTAATTCAACTTATAAAAAATGTAATTATCGGATTGTGGGTATGTAAGTTTTGGCTGGGCAACCATAGAAAATATAATCAAGGAATGCATGTATCCCTCCACAAATATATACACACCACAACTATCTTCTGTCTCCATTGCCCAGACAAAAAATTGTAGTCAAAAGTATCCTCAAAATGGAAATGCAGAATATTACCCAAATGCATTGCAAGTCAGAGATTCAGAGAACATGATTAATCATCCCTGATCTTTTTGTGTGAGTGCAATGAACATTGAATCTCAAAACCTTCTATTAAGAGATGCATACAAACTGTCTATGTTCTCTCTCAATAAGAGTTAATACCAGCTAAGATCCTCCGAATATATTGACACTGTGTCACATTTAGTTGTCCTAAACTTGCAATTTAGCCACTCGTGGTCTTTCAACTTTCAACTTTCAAATTTAACCAATCATGGTCCTTCCGTTAGTCTAAGTAAAGGTAAAGTTAGGATAAGGGCTCATTAAAAATTTGAAAGTTGAAGCATGAATGGTTAACTTGAAAGTTGAAGGATCTAGTTAAATTGAAAGTTTAGAACTAAGTGTGGCGGTGCCACTGTACTCACGAGTCTAAGAGCACAGGATTCAAGACATGAGTTTCTTAGAATGCTTGTCAAGCAATAACAAAGAAAAGAATTGAGGATTAAGATCACTATTTTTCCTTTCTACAAAAAGTATTTCATCATTTCAAAGGAATGGAAACTGAACTCTGGATAAACAAGCAAAATAACATATATAGGAATCAGACTATTGTTTTTACTGGCTAACTCTTCTCTTCATCCATGGTAAATCCACATCAATGGCAGGAGGATTTTCCAGTAGGGAGTTATTAGAAGAGCTAGCAAACTTCCCCTTCTTCGACCACAGCCAAATCTTCGAAACAGAAAAGCTATCAGTTTTTGTTCCAATACTTAATCTTTTCCCCTCCCCATCTGCTTCATCAAGTGAGCAACAAGGTTCTTGATCTCTTGATTTCACAACCTTTATATTATCACCATTTCTTTGGCAGTTCAAGGGCAAGGCAACCCGGAGATTCGTGTCACCAACAACATATCGATAAGATCCCATCGAGTAACATCTTCTAGAATCCAAGTAGTTACTACTGCTACTCTCTCCCTCTCCTGATACATTGTTCAATTTACAGAACTTGCCAAGCCTCACAGGAAAAGTCCTTTTTTGTACCACAATCTCCTCCTGCAAATCAATTGGTTTCTGGTCTCCATCCTCTTCGGCTAGCTCGCCATAATCAAACATGGGATTCATGGTGGAAAACCCGGGGTTGAAAAGGGCAGCTCTGCAGAGGGGGCAAGTTGAGTTGGACAAGAGCCAAGTATCAATGCAGTTAATATGGAAAGCATGGCCACAGATTGGAAGCAATCTCAACTTGTGGGTCTCCAAGAATTCACTCAAACAAACAGCACAATCAAGGGGCTCTTTCGAACCCACAATTTCTCTGTACACGAAAACAGGCAAAGCGTCGATAAAAGCTCGATCCAGACCAGTGTCATACTCGGGTTGATTAAAGAGCTGTTGCAACTGTCTCTGAAGGGCATCAGAGATTTCTGGATTTGTATTGGACTGGGGTGAATTAGATGGATTCTTGACAAGAAACCTGAGAAGCAAGTGAAGTAAACCAGAAATGAAAAATAGGAGTGCTAATATCACTATAATGAAAAGCACTTCTGGGCTAATTCTGTTCCCAGATGGGAGAGGGGGACTGGGACTGGGCTCCCCATAAGAACCAGGAGAGGAGTTCTTCAAAACTCCATCTTTCTGATATTGAACCCAACACATTTTAAAATGGGAATTCTAAGAAGACCATCATGGCTCTCTAAATTGCTGTACTATTTATAGAACAGGTCATTAATTCTTGGCTCATTAACCCAAAATGAAACACTTTTTAAGTCCCACAAAGCAAAAAGTCACAAGCCCTTGAAATTAAATTAGAGAAAGGAAGTGCAGAAACAGAAAGTTAATGATTGTGAAAACAAGAAGGGGATAAGGGAAGTGTACCACAGGGGTTCAGAGAACATGCTAAAGGTTGAGACTTTTTCGATCCCTCCACTGATAGGAAAAAAAAAATTAATAGAAGAAAAGAAAATACTTTACCACATAGTAAGATAAACTTAAACTATATTTGATACTAAAGACTATGGTACAAATAGTATATTCACTGCTGGAAATTATGGAATTTCCGACCACCTGAAAGTGATCTTAAATCAAGTCGAAAATAAAAAGTGGTCGGAAATAGCAACAAAGGTTTTTCCGGATACCAAAAGTGATCCGAACAAGACTTTCGACTTGATTTAAGATCACTTTCAGGTGGTCAACTCGTGCAGTATGTAGTACAGTCACGTTGTGATACTTACACACTCAGTCCTTTACAACCTGACCCGTGTCGCGAATCCTTACACAAGTTTACAGTCACCTTGTAATAATAATACTTACACACTCAGTTGTTTACAATCTGATCTGTATCGCGAATCGTTACACAAGTTTTTGTCGTAGCGATCACATTGTGATGCTTTGAGAAGAGTCCATGGACCTCTCTTCCTGCTCTTGAATGCTTCTAATCATGGTAGCAACTTGGTGAATGCTAGGCCGGGCCTCCGGGGAAGGATTAACGCATTTCACAGCCACCTGCAGCAGACCAACTATCCTTCCCTCACTTGCTCCTTCTTGGATTAAAGCCCTGTCAAAAACTTCCACTGTCCATTCTTCTCTAAGCACACCAAGAACCCAGCTAGCCAGGTCTTCTTGCCCATTGTTCTGGGCCATTATCATCATATTCATCTTCCCTGTTAGCAGCTCCAGGAGGATCACTCCGAGCCCATAGATGTCTTGTTTGAAGGGGTTTTGTTGGGTTTCTGAGATGGCGGCCTCCGCTGGCAATGGCATTAGACCATACTCGCTAATGCAGGGCTCCATGTTTTGGTTAAACATAATGTTTGAGGATTTGAAGTTTCCGTGAGCAATTCCGTCTTCTTTGAGCTCCTTGTGCATGAAAGCTAAGGTGTCGGCTATGCTGCCTGCAATGCTAAGTCTTCTGCTCCAGTCAAAGGCTTTGCCCATTTGGATGCCTGAATTATTAACTCAAGCTAAGATTCTTCAGATGAAATATATATATATATATATATATATATATATATATATATATATATATATATATATATATATATATATATATATATATATATATATATATATAACGTAACTAACGAACATGCATGCTTGTAATTGTGGTGTTGGGTGAATGGGTGGTGGCTCATGAAAGGTCAAGTCTAATAATTGGTTGCTACGAGATTGTTGGGTGGAGACAGGTAAAATGCCAAGTAAAGCAGCTTGTCTCTCGAAAATGTGACCGTATATAAAGAAATAAAAAGTTTACTTTTGACATAGTGATAAACACTTGATATAATATAAGTTGTATCAGTTGAGCATGGGTGTTGGAAGGGAGAATTGTTGGGCGGAGACCAGGTCGATGAAGAGACAAGTCCAACAATTGGTGGCTAGGAGACGGAGGTCAATGAAGAGTCAAGTCCAGCAATCGGTGGCTAGAAGGTAGAGGTCTGAAGGGCTAAATCCAGTAAGGGTTTGAGGGATTGGGGCTAGAAGGTGGAGGCCTAAAGAGCCAAATCCATTAAGGGTTTGAGGGATTGTTGGGCAGACACTTGAATGATCAAATTCACTACCTTGCCTCTCGAAAATGTGAAAGTATATAAGGAAATAAAGTGGCTGTCAGGTGCTAGGAGAGGGAATTGTTGAACAGAGTGACTGTCAGTTGCTAGGAAAGGAAATTGTTGAGCAGAGACTTGATAACAATTGGTGGCTATAGGATTGTTGGGCGAAGAAGACCCATAAAATGTCAAGTTCATTGTCTTGTCTCTCGAAAATGTGACAAATATAATATGGCGATAATGATAAATGTTTGATCCTAAGACGTGGGAACTTAAAATTAAATTAAATTAAAACATATATATACACCACCTTGTACAAGTGTGAGGAGGCTCCCATTTTGCTGATATTCATACACCAAAAGCTTCTCTAGGCTGGAAGAGTAAAAGGCAAGTGCAGGCATCACATTTGGGTGCTTCAATTCCCTCAGTCTCTGCATTCGCTTCTTGAAATCATGGCCTGTTATTCCCCACTCCTTTATTCTTTGCACCGTCAAACTCATCCTGGGATTCTCACACATCACCTTGTACACACTTCCATGCTTTCCTCTTCCAAGCAACTCCGCTGGAGCTTTCAACAACTCCTCAAATCTTAGCCCTTTCACCTCTCCACTCCCAACAACCACCATTGATTCTGAAGCTACTTCACCACTTTCAGATTTTCGTTGCTCCCTTGGCTTCGTTAACCCACTTTCATCTACTTCATCGCCATTTTTTGCTTCTTTCTTATTCTTCTTCTTCCCATTTCTGCGCAACCAGAGAGTTAGTGCAAGGAATAGAGCCACACCTATGAGAAAATACCCAGTGAACATCAGAATCTGGTTAGTTGACATCCCTAGCTCGCAAGTAGATGATGATGATGATGCAATCTGGGCTATATACATACAGAACTGGATAGCAACGTATATATATTGTAGTATTTGATTGGGAGGAAATACCAATATAATGTTCTGAAAACTGCAAGCATTAGCCGCAGCCGCTTTGCGGAAACTACAATGAAGTTGTTGTAATTTTTTGAGTTGGAAAGTAGTATGCGAAATTATTAAAGATTCCAATTTGGCATATCAGATTTACAGGAAGTGCCGGCAAGAATCATATACTTTGAAACTGCTGTCTTGTCCCTTTCCAATGGATATTTCAAGAATCGAATCTGTGGGGGTTGTTATACCATGAATCTGTGGGAGTTGTGTATTTTTAGTATTGAAAGAGTGAACTTTTAGAATATAAATTGTGTTTCTATGTCAAAACATACAATATGATGATCAAATTCTGATATTGTGTGACTGCAATATTCGGAAAGATCTTGTGAATACAAAACAAGATAATCATTTATATATGTGTAACACTTCAGTCTTACTTACTTGTATGTTTCACAAAATTGTTTTGAGCCTTATTACAAATCAAAATGGTTGAAGAAACTAAAAGACTATTAAATTACTAAAGAATTTATTAAAAGACAGTGCATCACAAGTTAAATACTTTTGTTCTAATAAATTCTTAATACTGTTACAACATTTTCATAAATATGTTGCACAACCAAATGTTCAATAATATAAACTTATGAATTTATATGAACAAATACAAAATTAATACTTCTGAAATCTTTTAGACTTATTGTTTGACATACAATCTAATTTGGGATGTATGAAGAGAATAATTAAATCCTTAATCTTTAGTGGAGATCTTAATGATCTTTTTCTAAATGACCACTCCCATTTGATTAAAATATTCTTCAGCGAAATTAATGAAATAAACTTAATAATATACACACTCATAATTGATTTGACCAACTAAATAATATTGAAGATATATAATTCCCCACCATTAGTTGGGCACACTAAATAATCAATTTTTGGTGTGAGACCGTCTCAATCTGTGAGACGGGACAGATCTTTGATGCAAATTATGCTGTGCAACCGAATGCACCTTGCAAGGTGCATACGGTTGCAAAACGGCGCCGTTTTGGTTAAAAAAAACGCACGTCCCACTTAAAGAAGAAATCAGGTTCGATTCCCGGCAATAGCATTTTTATATATCCAGAAATTCATAACTATATAACCACAATTTCATAACTATATATCCACAATTTCATAATTATATATCCACAGTGAATGAATGAAGTAAAAATCCACAATGAATGAATGAATGAAGTAAAAATCAAACAATGAATGAATGAATGAAGTAAAAATCCACAATAAATGAACTAAATATCCACAATATATGATTGAACTAAATATCCACAATGAATGAACTAAATATCCATAAATTCATAACTATATAACCACAATTTCATAACTATATATCCACAATTTCATAACTATATATCCACAGTGAATGAATGAAGTAAAAATTCACAATGAATGAATGAATGAAGTAAAAATCCACAATGAATGAATGAATGAAGTAAAAATCCACAATGAATGAACTAAATATCCACAATATATGATTGAACTAAATATCCACAATGAATGAACTAAATATCCATAACTATATAACCACAATTTCATAACTATATATCCACAATTTCATAATTATATATCCACAATAATGCTATTGCTGAGAGTCGAACCTGATTTTTTTTTAAAGTGGGACGCGCGTTTTTAATCAAAACGACGTCGTTTTGAACTGTATGCACCATGCGCATGGTACATTCGGTTGCACAGCATAACTATTGGATCTTTGATTACTGGGTCAAATCTAAAATTAATGGGTCGGATCTTTGTCTTAATGAAGTCAAAGATCCGACCCGTCTCACGGATGGAGACCCGTGAGACGGTCTCACACAAGTTTTTGACTTTACATATATGTTAACACTGTGCGTTCGTAGTATGCAAATTGTGAATTTTTAAAAGGTAACTGTGAACGCAATTTATATCGTGGATCAGTGTCCACATAGCATTGTGGACCCTGGATCAAAATGACGTCGTTTGACGTTTTAGCTTTTTAATAGACTCCATAACTTTTCATTTCTCATATTTCAACACAAATTTTAATTTATTTTATGTATAGAATCATTCCTCTTAATATACAAAATTGCATAACATGAAGCATAGAAAGCCAGAAACGCATACCACGAAATACATACACATGTTTTCTATTTTACTTATTCTTAAATCTGATTTATGTAAATAATTTATGTCCTATAGGCATATAATTTCATAATACAACATAAGTTCATAAAATAAGACACAATATGTTTTGTGTTATACAACTACTAATCAATTTCAGGTACATAATCCATATGCTTAAATTACAAAATTGCATAACATAATGTACAAAAACACATAACACGCGATACATGCACATGCTTTATAGTTAAAAAAAAAAAAAAAAAAAAAAAAAAAAAAACTTCTATAACGCAAACTAAACAACAAAATATGGCCGTTAAAATTAAAGTTCAAAACAACGTCGTAACACTAGTGAATACTTTAAATACTTAGAGCAATCTCATTAGTGAAGTTTTTTTTCTCAAAATTTTTATGGGTCACAGCATCCACGTCATCATCCAGTATCTCACTCAATCTAAAAAACCTTTCTCCCAATTAATTTAAATGTTTTTAAAAGGTTTTGTGGACCACCATTTTATCAATCGTTATATCGTGGACCATGGTCCACATTACACTGTGAACCATGGTCCACATTACACTGTGAACCATGGTCCAATACACATAATTCATGTTCATAATGCACAGAATTCATATTCATAATACACATGAACACGATATAATGAACATGAATTCTGTGTATTATATAACTGAGAACACATAAACACTTAACATAATACACAAAATTCATGTTCATAATGTACAGAATTCATCTTCATTATATCATGTTTATGTGTATGTGTATTATGAACATGAATTCTGTGTATTATATAACTGATGACACATAAACACTTAACATAATACACAAAATCCATGTTCATAATGTACAGAATTCATCTTCATTATATCGTGTTTATGTGTATGTGTATTATGAACATGAATTCTATGCATTGTGAACCAAAGTCCATAATATAATTTGTTCCATTTTATTCTACTATATTTTAATTATTTAAAATAAACATACTTACATTTAATTGAAATGATAATTATAAAATTAAAATTAAACTACTAATTGCTTAAAAATTAAACTACAAAGCTATTTTAAAAAAAATTAAAAGAAAAAAAGTTAAATACTTAAAAAGTCGATTAAATTCTTAAACTTTTAGAAGTTGCCATTAAAACCACAAACAAATTATTTTGGAACAATAAAACTCACTGTTAGTGATCTGTAATTTCAGGTCAATTAGGATTCCAACTAACTCCAATAAACCTCCGACAAATATTTGATCATATTCCGACAAACTAGAACAAACACTAGCAACGGACGACCGTTGAGTTCTGCCAGAGAATACGACCAAGTCGCCTTCTCTACAGCCGGATAAGGCAAATAGTCTCCTCCAACTAGCGTCTGTCAAATTATATATCTCTTTCAAAGACAACCACTAAGGCAGTTAAACGGTTGCCTTAAAAGGTAGCTTTTTGACTACCTTAAAAAAAATCAATTGCACTATTTGTTTAACTTAATCCAACCACACACCAAGAGGATAGCAACAGATTACAACACACAGAAAAATTCCAGTTTTTGGATATGAGCTCATTGAAGATTCCAATCTGTAATTGCATTATTGTTCCCAGCTGTGTACCCAACAAGGAAATTTTCAATGAAAATGGAATGGGAGTTGGTAGTAGAATACAAAAGTCAGATACTTACATTACCCTTTGCATATCCAGTTGGCAGAGTTACAGACAATTTAAACACTGTTACCATTTTCATTCTAAAACAGTTCATCTTTTGATCATCTTAAGTAACAAGAACTGATTCACTAAGAAAGACTATGCCCCTGTGATCATGTCCTAGATTTACATAAGAATGTAGTAATACAATAAAGGGGTTGAATGAACCTGCGGCATGGAAATAACATCTTATTCAAATCCACGCCATTCCATTACGGGTCTGCATGTCCAGCAACTTCATCTTCGCTATCACTTTGCCCACTAAGATACTCATCACTAAGCTCCTCATCGCTCTCTTCTTTCTGTGTGCTGATGTTTTCCTTCTTTGCATACCGCTCACAATACTCTGTCATAAGATTTTAGAGTCAAAAAATAAAGAATGTCTTGATTACTTGTCAAATCAGCGTAAGGGTTTTGCAATATTTTGGGTGTGGATGCATAACCATAAAAAAAACGTCATTTGATTGGTGAAAATTACACTATCCAGTAGGGATGTCAATTGTACCCGTACCTGAAGGGGAACCCCGAACCCAACTCCCTGTCCCCGAATAATCCCCGTGGGGATGGGGAGATTTGTCCCTTCCCTGGGAGGGGAATGGGCCAGAAAGTCGGGGGGTGGGAATGGGGGGTATGCCCCCCGCCCCCGCCCCGTTGACATCTCTACTATCTAGGTCATAATGGGATTCCATCTAGTGAATTTCATGAGCAGATTCATGCTTCAAAATCTTTTTCTTTTGATATTTTGGACGAGAAATAAGCAATATGGTGTTACGTCTTATCCATATTGTGAATTTAAGACCAGCTGCTAGTGATAAATGTATCCATTTCCCAACCACCACTAAAAACGGAGAAATTTTCAGTTGAAAGCATGGCAATTTCAAACCCCGAGGGCAAATTTGAACATTTAAGGAACGCCACTCACCTTTCACTTTTTGGTCATATTGCTTCTTGTCCTTCATCATCAGTGATGCTGCATCGCCATTCAAGGGGTCTGATGGATTCGGGTAAAGCAGGAGTTGAGGGAGGAAAACCTCAAAGACATTTAAAAGATCTGCATGCCAGAGTAAAAATCCATAAGAAAATTACTTTTATATAGTTAATCAAATTGAATGTTCTAACATTCTCCAATAAACACCGCTCTAAATTTTCAGTTCTACGATAAATGCATTCATATAAACTTCTTTTGTCCCTGTCATAAAAGACTCCACAAAAATAAATACTTCATTGCTGTAAACACATACCAAACATTGGACTCCATGACTGGTTGATGACATCCAAACATACAGAACCGGACCTTCAATAAATGGACAAAATTTAATTAGCAAAATCAGATCTAACAAAATGAAATTACAGGACATATCTTCAAAACATCTTGATGGTTATGTGGCAAGTAGAGTGCTATACTAATCTACTCCCTCTGTCCCATTTTATATGTCCTACTTACTATTCATTAGTTAAACAACTCTTTCTTCTTTGTTTATTTTCTTTAGTATTTTTTACCTATTTTTAAATTTGATTTTTTGTGTTTAATAGTACTTTTAGTGTAGTTTCTAAATATAAATATATAAATTTTGTATACTAATACTAAACTTAATATTATAAAAAATTGGATTAAAAATAACTTTAGTCAAGCCTCGTTAACCGAACCAGACACATAAAATGGGATGGAGGGAGTAATAGCTTTATAAGGGAACTCACAGTTCATCAACATTTGGGTGGAATATTTTGTTTAGAAACCCAATGGAAGGAGACTTGTAAGGATAAGCATCTGGAAGCTCCACACGAACTTTCCAGACTCCACCTTCATAAAGGCCTTCAAACCAAAAAAAGAAGAAGGAAAGAGAAACATATAAAATCAGAAGTTATCTATGAAATATCATGATGACATTGCAGAAATAAGCGTAACAAATCATTATGGAAAAACGGTGAAGGAAGAATGAAATATAAATAGCGTAAAATAAAGGTCCCAGATTTTCCCAGAGTGAAATATAAATAGTGTACAACACAATTTGCAATGTGATTGAATCGATGAAAGTGTGAAACATTATTTGTTAAAAAGACAATCAAGCAGAGGACATGAGGACCATTACTTTCTTTTGGACCATGGAATTCGACATTGAACTTGTTGATTTCATCGTTTATTGGCTCCACTGTGTAATCACTCATCATCCTATCACATGAAATGCAATGACTTATCAGCAAAGTTAAAGTAGAAGACATAGAATTAAATCAAGAAATCCAGAGATGCTTACAATTTCATAACATCCATATCCCTCCTCTTACTTGGAGACGACATTCTTGAAAATGTTGTATGTTTACTGCCAAATAAAAATCAAAAGTTAAAAGTAAGCAATATCATGACTATGGCATGAATACCAGGTTTGATTATCAAAACTTTAAAAAACCAGAAAAAGCAATCTATTAGAGGTAGACAAAGTAGATCAAGAATGTCAGATCTGCATCATAGAATTCCAAAACCTCTACTCAAATTGGATTATAATTCTTGTGTTTAACAACAATTGAGTTGGATTACCTTGCACTAGTTGCACCAGAGAAACTAGCAACACTAATTTAAGCAGCAATACAGTTGAAGTGATACTAAGAAAGCAATAACTCAAGGTGCATAGCCATTTAGAGCTATGGGATGAGGAAGACAAAGAAGAACTGGAATGCCAACACACTATCCTAGATGCCATGATCCCAAGTTGATAACTTTATGCTTTTGAGTAATCTAGATACCCTCACTTTCCCCTCCTCAGTTCAAGCTTCCATCTAAAACACCTTTTTGCCCCAAAAGGGACAGTTTAATTGTTTAAAGACACTGGCAACTTGACAGGCAGTTGAAAGCTTAAAATTAAATAACCATACAATACATTATACAAGATTTTAAATGAAATCACACAAGTAGGATTAGCCAAGATTATAATTCACTGAAATTCCAACATTGAGTGAATAGGATAGCCAAAACCGATTGACCTATCCAAGAAGATTGAGCAAAGCACAAAAAAATTACCCTTTTATCGGCAGAAATCCTGGTTTCTAGAGCTATAAATATTAATGCACAGAGAGCTGAAGCAGAATGAAGGGCAATAAGAGCGATGGGGGATAAGATTTGGGGGTGCCAATCAATCAAGAAAAGTAGAATAAAGAAACGAACCTGTGAGACGAAGGGTATGAGGGGATCGACTAAGATTCGAGTTTGATTTTTGGTAAGTAATCGAAAAGCAAGGAAAAACCAAGAAAAGGGGGGGAAGAAGATAAGAAGAAGAAGGGAGAAAGGAGAAATTAATTAGATGAGGGAGAAGACAAGGAAAGGAAGAGAAGAGTGACGACATTGTGTGGTGTTTGGAGTGGAAAGTTTAGAGATGGGAGGGGCACCCCATCCCACGTGCGGAGTCGGCCACAAGCCCGCCCACACTCATCCATCCATCATCGACATTCAACATTGAGTTTGAGCCTTGAGGCGGATTTGGCTCCTCGCCACAGACTCACTAACCACGTTCCTTAACAACCCTTCACCACGTCCTCCATCGCTATTCTTTACTCCAATCTTTATTCACATTTTTCAATTCGATTCCTCCAATACAATATTATATTATATTGGGTGAAATAATATAATCGAAATGGTAATTGGAATCAATCAAATATTTAGTAATAGTAATGTTGGTTTCACGATCACAGAGTGTCGGACGACAGGTCAAACATAACCGTAAAATAATTTTAAGAGATGAAATAAAAGAGCAAACTTACAGAGTTATTGCAAGAGAATTGGATTTGTGACCCCTTTCGATGTGCCCCCACAGGGGGTATTTATACAAGATTTACATGTCTTGGAAAAGAAATTAAAAAAAGGCGCAAGTGTCAAATATGCTCATCTACTACTGCGAATTGCTCAATTTCCACCACGAACTAAATTAAGTGTCAAACAGGTCCATTTACGATTTAAATTTGTTCAATTGACTTTTTTTTACAGGTTAATAACAGGTTACCTATTTAATTATTAAAATAAATAAATAAAATAAAATAAAATAAAAAAGAATACAGCCACCGGCGAGGACAGCCGGTGGCTGTATTCTTTTTTCTTTTTTTTTTTTAATAATAATTTTTAAATTATTTTGAAATTATTGTTTTAATAATTGAATTGGTAACCTGCAAAAAAAGTGAATTACCTGCAAAAAAAAAAAAAAAAAAAAAAAAAAAAAAAAAAAAACTAATTGAACAAATTTAGTAGGTAAGTGTGGTTAATTAGCCTTTAATTTAATTCATGGTGGGAATTGAGCACTTGACAATAGTACATGGGCATATTTGACACTTCTTCCTAAAAAAAATTAACAAATTTGATCTTAAGAAAACTTCCTAAAGTGTCATACTTCTTTCCTAATATCGATAAGGGAAATCTCGCCCAAAATCCATATGAAATCCCTGGAAAATCTCCTCTAACAGCCTCTAGGTAAGACACCCAGTTGAGCGCACCAGCCCGACCACCTGTCGACTATCGTAATGTGGGCGCCCGGGCCTAGACGATCCCAACGCCCTGGCGAGGATCCTGTCTACTAAGTGCCTCCAGTCTTCTAGTAACATGGTCAAGCTGCAAGCTTCGAGTGCTGAGACGTGCTCCTAACTGGGTAACCTACTCAGGGGTATAAATCACTAGTCCCTCACTTTTTCGAGGTTCAGCAAGGAGACGGCTCGAGAAAGTAAACATCTACGAGGTGGGGGACCCGGTAGTCAAAGTGCTGAATGCAGGTTGAAACTTCCAAGCATCTTTGTCAATCTTGCAGTGTAGCAAAGAAACATGGCTAGCACCGATTGGGCTGTCTCTACTGTTGTGACGACCCCTCACTCTTCCCGACTGGCTGGTTGATTGAGGGTGTGGGCGCTAAATGAGGCGTATTAAATACGCCTCCTCATTTCCTATCGGTTAGAGTTTCAATTTTTCACCTCCCCCCAACCCTAAAGTAATCGTCGCGCCAGCCGTCATGTTCGCCTGCCAACCATTGGATATATGCCACGTGTCATCATCTTGACACCCTTCGTCCCCTATAAATATGCATTTCACCCTTTCACCACTACCTTTTCACTTTCACCTCTTCTTATCCTGCGCTCTCTTCTCCCTGCCTTATCCGTCCGGCGACCACTGCTTTCGTTTTCCGGGTGTCTTCCCATTTTTCGTTCACCTTTCCTACCAGTTTTTTCTCCGTGCTAGTTCAGGTCAGCCTTCTTTCCTCTTAATGTCTTATTCTCAAACCCCTTCCTCTTCTATTTCACGCCGGCAAGGCGTTACTAGCAATCCACCGCCCACTATTTCCAGTTAGTGGCTCCGGTCGGGCCTACCTCATCTGCTCTTCTAAATCCAACACTCCACGACCAAACTCTTCGCCAGGAACTGGGCCGGTTTGAAGACTTAGGCCGGTTGGTGACTCATCACTCTACCCTTTCTACTTTCGACTACCACCACGCTTGGCAGCTACTCGGCCCTACGGCTAAGACTCGAGAGGTTGGGCAACGACTAATAACCGACCCCCTAGCGGGCGATTTTGTAGGAATCCACTACTAGTTGGTCCGCTATGGTTTTTGAGTTCCTCTCCACCCCTTCATCTCTTTAATCCTCCGCTACTATGGTCTCGTGTCTGGCCAATTGGTTCCCAACTCATATCGCCTTCTAGTCAGTTTCCTCACCTACCTTCACTACCTCTAGGAGGAGGCCTCCATTTTTTTCTTCCACTAGTTAGTTCTTCCGGCTGTCGCGTGTGGCCGCCCTTGGATACGTGCAAATACGCCAAAGGGACAGGCTAGAGTCCTCCCACGAAGGTTAGAAGAATGACTTTTTCTTCGTTCACCCAGCTGCGTCTCACGCGGAATTCGACTTCCCAACCCTTGCAAAAGAGGACTTAATGTAGCAAGCTGGTCGGCGAGCTAGTTAAGACCATTCTTGAAAGCGATTTCATCTCCACTCAAACGCTGGTCTCGACTCTGTGCCATAGAGAAAACTGGTATCCTATCGGCCGAGGCTGCCACGACAGGTCTAATTCCTGCATGCAATCATGCCTGCTACCCTTCAAGAGCTAATCATAGTTCTATTTGTCTTGCGGGGAACAACGAGTTGGGTGAGGATTCTAATGAAATCGACCAAGGTGAGTTGGTTGCACTCCATCCTCGAGCTCCGGCCACTGAGCCCGTTGACCTGACTTCCGACGACGACTAGGCCGCTGAAGATATGGTGGACTGTTGAGCTTTCCATCGTGCGTAGGCTAGAGCTCGCCTACGTGCTGCTGACAAGGGCAAAGGCGTCGCCCCACTAGTCATCGGTGGGTCGCCGACTGCGATAGTCGGGCCACCGCAGAAACCAGGCAAAAGGAGTCTAAGAAGATTGGTGATGTGCTTTGGATAGAGTTGAATATTAACCATAGTAAATTGATTTAAATATTAAAAATTGCCACATAAGATGTCATGTCATTCATCTTACCTGCTTCTGAAAGCAACATGCTAAAAATGTTATATGCACAAATTTATAGAGTTAAAAGGTTTAATTGCACTTTTCTTTTTGTTTTATGGGCCAATTGCACAAACAATCAAACACTAACAGGGCGTTTGGTTGGAGGGGGGAATTATGTGGGAAAGGAATTGTAATTCCATGGGAGTTGAATTACTGGGAATAAAGTGGGAATTTAAATTCCAGTGTTTGGTTGATAGGAATAGAATTACTGGGAATTTCAATTCCAATGTTTGGTATACATGGGAATTGAAAGGGAATAAGTAGTATAAAGTCAAAAATGTCCATTATTGTTGTTAGACATTAATTTTAGGTTAAAAAGGGAAGGGGTAATTTTGACTCATCACTATCTTTTTTTCCCAGGAATTAAAATACCAGGGGGGACATGGGATTTTAATTCCATGAAAATGGGGAAATTGCAATTCCCTCCAACCAAACTACGGAATTTAATGGCCTTTAGAATTATATGGGAATTAATAAGTGGGAAGGGAATTTAAAATCCCTCCAACCAAACGCCCAGTAATAGTTCGATGGTCTATTTGACGTTTTTTCCTCATAATAATAATAATAATAATAATAATAATAATAATAATAATAAGTTAATACCCAAAATGGTCCTCGACTATAGTAGTTTTTCACAATTTCGTCCAAAATGACTTTGGTGACCTAATGTAGTCTTAGACTTTTGTGTTTTTGCTCAATTTAGTCTCCCGTTTGTCATTCCATCAAATTGGTATTAAATAAAGGGACAACTCAGTAATCTCAATATTGACATCTCTTTACTATCAGCCATACGAAGTGCGAACTCCCTCTTTCTTTTACGAATTACTCCCATAATTAGTACCCTTGATCTATCAATAGAGGGAGCAAAAAAAGGGCCTTTGCTCGCTAGCCTGATGAAGCTTCAATTCATACTTTTGAAGAAAGCCAAATAGGTTTCAAAACCTACAAATATAAAATTTGATTCGCAGGTCTGGAAGTAATTCGTAAAAGAAGGATGGAGTTCGTACTTCGCAGGACTGAGAGTAAAGATATGTCAATATTGAGATTATTGAATTGTCCCTTTATTTAACACTAATTTAACGGAATAACAAACGAATGATTAAATTGACCAAAAACACAATAGTGTGGAACTAGATTAAATCACCAAAATCGTTTAGGACAAAATTGAAAAAAATTATTATAGTCAAAGACCATTTTGAGTATTAACTCTAATAATAATATAGTAAAGCTTTCAATGAGATAATTAAAAGCAATTGTTGAAAAGTGAAGACACCATTCGTTAATATTTTTTGCATGTTTTATGCGGAAACATGCATGCTGTAGACTTTGCAGATATTGAAGATACACCACCATCCTAGGGACATACATATTTTTTTATTTTTTTTTAATTGTAGGATCAAAGCTTTGATTTTTGTAATCTTAGTGATTTTATGAGGTGTTTGGTGGGGAGGAAGGAATTAAGAAAGAAAATAATTGTAATTTGGTGGTAAAAGAATAAGATGTGAATAATGTAAGAATTCAAATTACATTATTTGGCAGGGAGGAATAAAATTATTGGGAATGAGAAGGAAAAAGTAATATAAAGTCTAAAATGTCCTTGTATAATCATAATAATAAGGAATAAGGTTCAAATTGACCACTGAACGTAACCTGAAAATGCAATTAGGCCACTGAACAAAAAGAAAAGTGCAATTAGGCCACTGAACACTTCAAAAATGTGCAATTAGGCCACTGAACTCTTCAAACATATGCAATTTCACCGAATAGTAGGTTACCATCAATTCTAGCAGGTTACTTGCTTACGTGGCAGTTGAGTTGGCATTTTTAATAATTTTTAAATAATTTTTAATAATTAATTTTAATAATAAATTTTAAAAAATTGAAAAAAAAAATTAAATAAAGAATAAAATGAAGTCATTTTTTTTTTAATTT